TGTGTCTTTTACAAACCCACATCAGTCCCTTATTACCAGTGGGCCAAGGGAGTGTCAATTTTTCAGAAGGGTTGCTTTTGTCAGTCAAAAATAATTTTGATAGAGGAAAGGGCCAGGGGGATACTAGAGGGGAGTTACTGTGGAGATACCAAATTATATTGTTATATTTAACCAAATTATATTGTTATATTTTGTACATAAACAAATATGTAACAACAAATCCCACTATTATGCATAATTATAATATACCAACATTATTTAAAAAATAATAACAAAAGTAATTTTCAAGAAAAGATGACTGTGAGCTGTTAGCACTCAGTGCTCAAATGAGTTGAAGATGGGATGTATCAGCTTAGTAAAAAGGGACCAAGATGGAGCATCTCCTACACTATCATAGTGTATATAAAAATTGTTTATGTTTTATAATTATTCTAACATACCTCTCCAATTAGATACTTTAAAAGTAATATAATTCACCCTTTTATAAATAAAGTCTTACATTTTCATATAGGATGTAACGTGCAATTCTATGCTAAGATTTTTTTTTTAAGGATTCAACCTTCGAGCTTGTTACCATGGAAATGTTTTGAGCTCTTACACATGTAGTAATAGTGACTTAATTAAGAATACTTTTTTCTGATCTTATTTGAATATATTGACATTATCCAGCATATGTAGCTTTTGTTCTTGAAATTATACTTCACTATAAACTCTCAAAAAAGAATTAGTCTCAAATCTCAGTTCTTCCACTGTCCTCATATAAGTTCTTGGAATATATATGTTCTTTGTATAAGTACTTGGAACTTCTTGGAAATTTATGGATGGTAACAAAAAGGAATGAAGGTGGTGCTTTTTATTCCTACTCCCTGACCCATTTTTTTTTCTTTTTGCTTCCCATTTGCTCTATGGAATTTGTACTCCAGAGTTGTATTGAAATGGAGTATTTCCTTGGAATCTTCCCATCAGGGAACTTTTCTGTGAGAGACTTTATACAAGTGTATTTGATTCTGAAAGGAAAAAAAAAATACACATTATTACTAGTCTGTACAATTACTTGATGATAATTTTTCAAAAGTAACAAACCTGGTAACTTACATAATAGAATGAACAGTATCTAGAAATGTACTTTTGAAATGATCATTCCCATAAGATCTTGTGTGCTGAAATAAGAAAAAACTGAATGTATCAGTAATTCTGGTCATCATGAGTTTACTTTTAGGAGACTGGGTTTGTGACTCAGTGGTGGAGCACTTGCCTAGCATGTGTGAGGCACTGGGTTTGATCCTCAGAACCACATAAAAATAAATAAGTAAAATAAAATTATTCTGTCCATCTATAACTAAAAATATTTTTAAAAGAGTTTAGTTTTACGTTATCATGTATATTTTTAAGATTTGAGATGCCTTGTTTCACAAAGTGAAAAAGAATAACTTGTGATAATATGACAAAAATACCTTTATTAAAAAGAAGATGCTGAAATATTTTGGAGTAAAGTGACATCATGACTCTAATTTATTTTGACTGGATTTAAGAAAAAAAATGTCATTCATGGACACAGAATAAGAGAGCATGTGAACAACTGAGGGAAAATGGTAACAAAGGAAGAAAGTAAATATGTTATCACTTCTTTCAATTACTAAAATATTTTACTTTAAATACTGAAAAGGGATATAAGTCCATCATTTATTTAAATACATTTACACAAATAATTTGACAATATCTCAAATTATTACTTTTTGTATTTGCCATCTTTTTTCCAAGAATATTAAAAACATCTCAATAATTTGACAGTTCATTTTTGAGCAGCATGCCACTAATGGAATTTTGGCAAAACCTCCTAAGTCATAGATCCCTATCTATTTCCATATTAATATGAATACAAAGTGTCTCTATTGTCCAAAGTGCTATAATTTATTCATCATTCCCTCTGTTTTTTCCTTGCCACATGACCCAGCTGCTTGAAATATCCCACCTGACTGATATTGAAGTACAGAATAACTTTACTTTTCAGGAATATTTGTCTTTTTTTCAACATTTAACTCAGCCTATACTGAAGTATGTATTAATATCTATATGCATATAGTTCCAGTACAATTCTCCCTCTGTTCTCTTAATCTAATTTGTTAGTATCTTTTTAGAACTTTCTAAACTAAATATTTTAACTTTTACCTTTAAGCATTTTGCTTTATCTTACAAATCTTCTAAGGCTTTGAATAAATTCATCTTACTCTTTAAACTTCTACCTTGAAGGTATTTCAATCTTTTCACTAGCAGTGCTATCCTCAGTTACAATTACTTGATTCCAGAATCATGCTGTAGTTCACATTGTGGTAACACAAGATAATGCCATGTTTGTCACTGAAATTATAACCTTTAAAATAAAATCCTGCCTAGGATTCATTTTATGTAATGGGGAAAATATACAAAACTGCATTGACAAATATCCTATGCATTTATGTAACCTTGACATATGTTTGTGCAGTGCTTTTATCCTCTTTAGTGTATGATTCCAACTCTGAAGTTGTCATTTACAGGAATAATGGCAATGAGTGACATTGATGATTTCCACCAAGCTTCTTGCATATTTACTCTCTATCGTGACTCAATTCCTTTATTAAGAATCTTAGACTTTAATTGGGTAAATAAAATAGACTATATCACACAATAGTTAGAAATTGACACCTTTATGTACAAACATAATACATAGTTGTAGAAAGAATGAATTCTGGATTCAGGCATAGCTGGGTTATAATCGCAGCACTTGTGAGGGGACATGGAGTTTCTTCAATTTACGGTTTGGTCATTAATTTGTTTATTTATTCACTCATGTGTTTAGTAAATATATGCCAAGCTGGCTACCAGGCACTTCTAGGCACCGGGATTTTCAAAGAAGTGAGTGACAAGAAAAAAGTCCCTGATCTCAAGGATCTTACATTCTGTTGAGGAGACCAAAACCAAAGGAACAAATGAATGTAAAATGTAATGCAATATAATGTTGGATAAAACTAAGTCCTATGAAATATATTAAACCAGAATCCAGATCAAGTGACCAGGATGGTAAGGCAATATTTCATACAGGACAATCAGAAAAAGCCTCTTTCGCAAAGTGATATTTAGAGGGAAATAGAAAGAGGAGAGGAAGCCATGCAACTCATTGGTTTAAAACATTTCAGACAAGCCAGGCATGGTGATACACACCTGTAACCCCAGTGGCTGGACCCTGTCTCACAAGAAAACAGTTAAAAAGGGCTGTGATGTGTCTCAATGGCTAAGTACCCCTGGGTTCAATCCCTGGTACTTAAAAAAGATTTCAGACAAAGAGAGCAGCAAGTTCCAAAACCATAATGGATGTTTATGTGAAACATAAATCAAAATTTGTAAATTCACTGGTGAATATATAAGTTGTTAGTAGATAGTACAAATTATTTTTAAATTAATAATTAATTCAGTGTCTTGTTATTTGTCTTCTTTGTTCTAATGTACATATTTCTTTTCATTTCGATCATTTTTCCTTCTCTTGAATTTTAAGTTGTTCATCCTGTTCTCACAGCATTTGGGTTGACTTCTTTTTCATTTGTGGAGTTGAACACTGCTTGTTACTGCTATTAGAGGTCCTTTAATTCTTGGTCTTTGCCTTTTGTTCATCATTCACATATTTTGAGTGATGCCTAATTTATTGTCTTGATAACAGCTCTATTTTATTTCTTGCTATTTTGTTAGCTATAAGATCTTCATTCCTGATTTTATCAGTCAGAGTCATATCAGCAAGAAAAATCTGCATAGTAATTTGTAAGATAAATATTTTATAAATAAGTATTAAATGCAACAACAGATTAGAGTAATGAAAGGAATGGCTAGTATGAAAGAAATATGTATTATTCTGTTTATGTTGCCATATCAAAATATCATAGACTAAATGGCTTCGATAAATAGAAATTTATTACTCCTAGTTCTGATAGTTGGAAAGCTCTTAATCAAGAAGCCAGATAGTTGGTTTCTGGTGATGACTCTCTTCCTGGCTTGCAGATGACTACATTCTTTCTTTGTCTTGTGAGCACAAGGGACAATTTCCCAAGTCTCTTCTTATAAGGGCTCTAATCCTATTAGAAAAGCCACAGCCTCATGACCTCATCTTACTCTAATTACCTCCCAGTGGTCTAATCTTCAAACACCATCACATTGGTTGTTAGTTTTTCAAATTATGAATTGAGGTCACATTCAGATCATAGCAAAAAATAACATGAAGGAGTAGAAGAGTAACTGCTATAATCCCTAGGGATGAGACAGACCACCCAAAGAAAAGTTCCAATACTTCTATTCATAAGTAGAGTTTCAAGTGTTATTGGAAAGGTAAAATAATGATTAACTGAATGGCAGAAGTCACTGAAGTGCAGTGCTATCAGAACTTGTTAGAAACCTGCCCTCTGGAAGTTCACACAGACACTCCCTATTATATTCTTGGTAAAGCTGTTCATGAGAAGTTGTCTTACCTGAGACTCTGCTTAAAAAAAATGTCAAGCTGCTGCCTGCAGGAGCCAGCTGCTGGAGAAGACTTGCACACTTATAAGAGCCTGTCAAGCAAGCATGCTGGGACTAGGAAGCAAAACCCTTTCCTCCTGTAATGTCTCTCCAGCACCCTCTACTGACAAAGCTTGAATACCTGCTAGCAAAGGAAATATTTTTAGGGTCCAAATCTATTTTCACAGAGCAGGCAAAGAAGTATATTAAGAACTGAGGGATAATAAATACTAATGAACCTACTGTTATAAAGTAAAAATAAGTACCAGCAGGAGCAGACTAAGTAAAGAATACATTGTTTACTAGCAGGGTAAACTACTTTTCATGCTCCTTCTGAGTTTTCTTCCCTGTTACATTTTCTTTGTCTTGAGTAAATATGCATATATGTAGATGTTTATTAGACATTTGTTAAATGAATGAATGAATGAACTCATTGCTTAATTTTTTATCTAATGTTTTTTGTCTCTCTCTTTTTACTGTAGCTGATGGATGCACGGATTGGTCTGTTGACATCAAGAAATACCAAGTTTTGGTGGGAGAGCCTGTTCGAATCAAATGCGCACTTTTTTATGGTTATATCAGAGCAAATTACTCCCTTGCCCAAAGTGCTGGACTCAGTTTGATGTGGTACAAAAGCTCTGGTCCTGGAGACTTTGAAGAGCCAATTGCCTTTGATGGAAGTAGAATGAGCAAGGAAGAAGACTCCATTTGGTTCCGACCAACATTGCTGCAGGACAGTGGTCTTTACGCCTGTGTCATCAGGTATTGTTTTAATTCCATTACCGTTGTATCAATGCAATCACATGCTACATCCTCATACTTAAAATCTGTTGCTATATCTTTCAGCTAAAGGTATTGTCTCAATATTTGCTTGTGTTGCTGCTTTCTAAAATTTAGAAGCTAAATCATAAAAAAGATGGGATTGGAATTTATATTGAGACATTATTTCTAGCTTATGGAGAAAAGAGATGCCATCTGGGTATCTACTTATGTTGCCAGAAATTACTAAAGACTATGAAATAAAATTTATACAGGAGGTAAAATGTTGGAAATAAAATGTAAGCAAAGACTTGCAGAAAGGATGCATAGTTTATTGCTAAATGGGTTGTAACATTTTGTTATTGCCCTTCACAGACAGATAGAGCAGAGATACCTCTGGTTCACACACATCTGCAAAGATGATTTAGGTAATGTGTGTATGTGCACAGGAAGAGGAAGACAGCATTGCCAAGTTAGGGAATATAAAAATTGTGTTCTGTATTGTTTTGTTAACTAAAATTGCTAGATCAATACCCAAATTTTTTTTCTGAGTCTCTCAAGGCCAATACCAAAGTTAATAACAAAGTCTGTGCCATTATCCCCAAGAAAACTCATCACACATCTTCACATCTTTGTCAGCTTGCGGAAGAAACATATGCAGTTTGTTTAATGATAATGCATTGAAACAGTATCCATGTAACACATTAGCAGTTAAAAAAATCTCAGTTTAAGCATTTAGCCATTCATGGATTATGAATCATAGCCTGCATGAGTGATCATGAATGTCATTATACTATTAGAACATTAGAAAGCTAGATATAGGCATATGGAAGGTGTGTTTAAATCTATTTATTTGGCTTTCTATATTTCATCTTATTCAAATAAAGAAAACTCTGAGACAAGTTGATTCTTGACTTGGAGAGACTGACTTGGCCATGCTGAGACTTCTGAAGCACCTAGTATTTCTTTTTTTCAAATAAAAATTCAACTTCTACTTCTGAAATTATGATTGGCTCCTCCCATTCCTACTTATAAGGACCATATTTCCTTATCACAGTCACCTATAACAATTATCTTCATGCTGAGCTGTGGCTTCCAATGTCTTAAGACGTTAAACTAGGTCAAAGTTATAAAATTTAGACATAAATGTATCTTTAAACACTGATAACATACATTAGAGTTAATGTTGGAAAATGTATTGGATTATAAATAGTTGTATTTGAGATAAATTTCCACTGGATTTTTAAAATAACAAATGTGTTGTTCCTTGGGCAATACTTGTTCTTTATCTTGGGATCTACCAATTATTATATGTTCAAACATAATTCTTAATAGAATAGAGGTTCTGTGGGGGCATTGATAAATAATGTCATGCTATTACAGTTAAAGAGTACTGATTGAACCAGCTGTTCTCACTATACCAAGTCACTTGATTTTAATTTCTTATCTGCTGATTATTTTTTAAAGTTGTTATCTATGATTAATTTTGCACGTGTGGAGGTAATTCTTCAAGATAGGCAAATGTGTGTCCTTATTTGAGTGAGATTAGTATTGAGTTGAATTTCCAGAGTCTAACACTTCATTTCATTATTTACTGTTGATGGAAAAATAATGTAGCACATTAGTAATCTGAATTGCATTTCTTTTATGTGTTTAAATATATGGTTAGATTCAATGCTCCAAGAAACCTCATTGAAATGCCCCAGAATTATGTGTATTTATAAGAGTGAATGAAGGGCTGAAGTTTCCAAAACAATGATGTTTGTCATATTTTCATGTTTCTACATTTAAATGGAAGGTGAAACTAAAAGACAAAGGCTGAAAGTTTAATGTGTGTCAAATGGCATCCATGAGAAAGTAATATACTAAAAAAAAAAAAAAAAGAAACTTGCCACTCTACTTTGTGTACAACCAGAGAAGTGAAAAGTTGCGCCTCATTTGTGTACTATGAATCAAAATGCCTTCTGATGTCATGTACAACAAATTAGAACAAACAAATTAATTTTTAAAAAAATTCAAGTATGCCAATGGATTTGAAGCTAATGAGCTTCCTATGTCTTCCAAATTGAAAAGAGATACTCCAAATCTTTATAAACAGCAGTTGAAATAGCAAGCCTTGGTGTTGATGTGAGGGAAGTCCAAGGGCATTGACATTTTAGCACATTGCTAGCTACTAGGCCAGAAATAATCACCATTATTATTATTATTATTATTATTATTATTATTATTATTATTTAAATAATCCACTTCAAAGAATTTCAGAAGTTGAACATATTAGCTTCTATTCAAAGATACTATTGTTGTTCTGTGCAGTAACTTATCAATTAAATGGCTTAACAAGCCTTTTGCGTATAGATAATTTGCATTTATACCTAAACATACACAAATAAATGTTGCTAATAATGGAAATAGTTCAGATAACTATCATTATAATGAACAAAAGTTTTTCTGCCCCCTTACCTTTATTTTGAAAGAATAATGTTAGGTAATTCTTTATTCCATGGTAAATGGCTTTTAAAATATTTTCTCCTTGAATTTTTACCTTACTTTGTTTCATGAAAAAGCCGTGTAATATTTTGGGTTTTTTTGTATTGTCATCTATAGAAACAACTTTATTTTACAAAAAAATAAATTTCCCTATATTCTTCACCTCTTAATTTTTGAATCATATTTTCAGAGTCATGCCCTATTAGCAGTTTTATATGCAGAGTTAGCTATTGCACATACAAGTACCCCAGTGCCACCAAAAATGTTAACACATTTTTAAATTTGTTTTGTTGTTGTTGTTGTTGTTTTGGAGGATACTAGGGATGGAATCTATGGGTGTTCTACAACTACTCTCTGTTCCCAGTCCTTTTTATTTTGAAGGGTCTTGCCAAATTCCGAGAGTCTTGCTAAATTGCTGAGGTAGGCCTTGAACTTGAGATCTTCTTTCTTTGACCTCCCAAATCACTGGGATTATAGGCATATGCCAAGGCTCCAAGCCATGGTAAATCATTTGACACAGCATTTTAATTAAAATGTAGTTCTTGAGATAATTGCAGAATCATATTCAGTTGCAAGAAATAATATAGAAAGATCCACATATCCTTTACCAAAATTTGCTCAATGGTAACATTTTGCAAAACAGTAGTACACTATCATAATCAGGATATTGACTCAATTCTCTCAAGATATAAGACAATAGCACCACTTCATGCGATTCTCCTCTTGTCATTTTATAGTTATAATTCTCTCTACCCAATTCTAAATCACTGGCCACTACTAATGCAATCTTCCTATTTATAATTTTGTAAATTGCAGTATAAATGAAATCATACAATATACACATTTTGGAATTAGATTTTTTCATTCAGCATAATTCCCTTGCAATCCATACAAAATATTGTATGTAAGTATATTTTATCCTTTTTATTGCTGAAGACTTTTCCATGATAAGGGCATGCTAGTGCACATACAAGTACCCACTGAATGGCATCTGGGTTGTTTCCAGTTTGGGGCTATTAAAAATAAAACTTCTATGAACATTCACACAAGAATATGGGGTAAAAATAAGTTTACATTGTTCTAGGATAAATATTCAAGAGTAAATATGAATTGTAAGGTAGCTGCATGTTTAGTTATAAAACACTGCAAAACTATTTTCCAATGTCACTGTACCATTTTACATCCCTACTAACAATAGTACAGTTTCTCCACATACTTGCAGTATTTGGTGTTGTCATTGTATTTAATTTTAGCCATTCTCATAGGCTTATCCTGGTATATTATTGGATTTTAATTTGCATTTCTCTAATGACTAAGGATGGCAAGCTTTTCTGTGTGCTATTTGCCATCTCATTCCTCTTCAGTAATATTTCTGCCCATGTATTTGTTAATTTTATAATTGAATTTTTGTATCTTCTTTATTATGGTTTTAAGTAGTTTTGTATGTCTGGATACAATTCCCTTTTTTGGATTAGTGATTTACAAATATTTTCTGCAAGAATGTAATTTATGTTTTCTTCATCTTATGTTCTTTTGTAAAGCAAATATTCTTAATTTCAATGAGATTCAAATTATGAATTTTTCTACTTAAAAATCATGCTTTTGTTATGACATATAAGAATTCTTTGTCTAGCTCTTGGCCATAATGATTTTTTTCTTATTTTCAATGCTTAATTATTAAAGTAGAAGATATGTCAAAATATGTTTTGCTTTATACTTTACATTTAAGTTGGTAAGCCCTTTCTGAGTTAGTATTTGTTTAAGCTATGAGATTTACTTAAGTCAAGTTTTAGTTGTTTTCCATGGACAGGAAGTTGCTTCAACACCATTTGTTGAACAAGACTATGCTTCTTCTGTTGAATTGCTTTTGCACTTCTTTTTCAAAATCCACTGTGCAGGTTTATGTGTTGATTTCTTCATTCTTTATTCTATACTTATATATCCATCCATCTGCCAATACTATGGTACTTGATTTGTGTATCTGTATGGTAGGCTTAAATATCAAGTGAAGTGAGTCCTCTTTGTTTTTCTTTGCAAAGCTACTATAGCTAGTTAACTATTGTGGGCTGCTTGTTTTCTTTATAAATTTCATCATGATCTTATTTATAATCGCACAAACCTCACTGGAATTTCTTTTTTTTTTTCTTGTTTTGTGGTTCTGGGGATCCATCCTAGTGCCATGCTCATCTAGGCAAGTGCTCTAGCACTGAGCTACATTCCCATCTCTACTTTCCAGGAATTTCAATAGCAATTGTATGAAACCTATAGATCAATTCAAGAAGATCTGACATCTTTATCATCTTGAGTCTCTGAATCTATGAACATAGTATAACTCTTCATTTCTGTAGGAGTTTTCTTTGATTTCTTTCATTAGTATTTGTAATTATCAGCATACAAATCCTATACACATATTTTGAAATTTATACCTAAAAATTAATTTCATTGGAGTATTGATAAATGGTATTATCTTTTTAATTTTCATTTCAACATGAACATTTTTAGTATATAGAGGTATG